CAGCATCGACTGCTGTCGTAGATAATGTGACGCTTACTTGTGTGCTCCTGCTACTCCTGTGTTTAGATCCAGATGACCAGCTGAAGCTGACAGAAGACACCCGGCAGCTGGGGCTGGTGGTCTGCAGAGGAACCTCCGTAGTGCTGATCTGTCCTCAGGATGGCATGGAAGCCATACCGAACCCATTCATACAGCAGCAGGACGGCTAACGCACGAGCTCTCCCTGCTAACTTACACGTACTTGTACACACTTGAATATTTCGTTGTTTCTTTTCCTTAGTTTTTATTTCGTTTTAACAATAACGGTAATCATTAATGGAGCCAAGCCGATTTAGTTAAGCAGCAAAAAGACGTTTGAATGCACTTCACTTTTATTTCAGTCTGATGTGCAAATTTGTAAAGATTTGTGTTGTAAAGAGCCCATAAGTGTGGGATGTGTAAACAGTACCATTTTCTTTTTATCCAGAATAAGTGAACTTTTTACTATTCTTTGTTGTTTTGATAAGAAAATAAAGTGAAAATGTAATTATGCCGACTTTTGGAAGTTTCGACTCTGCTGGCTGCACATCTTTGCCTTCAGAATTACACGAAGGTTGTGAAAACGACCACTTTGAATGTGATTTAGTCGCTGTAGTTTAACAGCAGCATGACTCAGCTGCTGCTGCGAGTTAGATGTGGTTCCATTTTTATCTCGTACACTGAGTTTCACGTGTTTTCTGCCATTTCACACTTTCAGTTTTTAATCACTCGGTAAAACCAAGCAAAGACTCAGAGACTCAGGCATGACTGCATCAGCAGGCTCGTGTTTATCCGTCCTAAAAACTCCTTTATTGAAATGAGTTCCCGCTTTTCTCCTTTCATCCAGACTCCAACTTCTGTGGCTCACTCCATACTTTTGGACCCACTGCTCGCTGTCCAGCTTAGCCAGCAAAAAAAATACGTCAAATGTTTAACAATGCAACGCCAATTCCAAAACAGTTGGCACGTTCTTTAAAATGTGCACAAAAACAATGCAATTATTTCATAAATCTGTATTTTATTCATAATAATTTTCTAAGTAAATGTGCCATTTTAAGATGTGATGGCAGCAACATGTTGCAGAAACGTTGATATGGAGGCTACGAAAGAGGAGAAGTTGTGTTTGTGTGTAGCTGTAAGAAACAACTGCTGCCGGTTGAGGCCCGACATGGTCGACTGTGGAAGAAGCAGCTTAGAGACAGTTTCTCAGAAACGCAGAAATTGTGACTAAAATTTTAGAACTTAAAGACTGAATATGTCTACAGTACAAGACGTCATCAGAAGAGGCCAAAAATCAAAAACTTTATTAAAAACAGACCTGTTGTTTTTTGTACCTGTTGTGGAAATCACTGCAGGGGCTCAAAAACACTGAACAGAGTTCACTGTCGTCCACAAATGCACATTAAAGACAAGAAGAAATCATCTGAAGAGAAAGCCACGTGATCCAGAAACGTCCCGGCCTTCTCTGGTGGAAAACTCAGTGTGATGGAATTTAAATTCTTATTTGAAAACTTGGACTAAAGACGAGCGAGTCCATCGGGCTTGTTGCCTCCATAAAGCTACCTCTCCATCTCTGCTGTCACGGGGGGGTCAGTGTCTGTGGACGTGGACTTTATGCTGAAAGGTTTTTACAGGTTTTAGACCAACACATGCTCCCACCCACTGGTGTCTTTTTTTCAGGCAAGGCTTTGCATGTTTCAGCAATACGATGCTGAAACATGAATCTATTACAGCAGCATGGCATCATAGTACACAGTGTGCTGATCCATGTGCAGTCCAGTTTCACCAGCTGCAAACATCTGGAGCACCATGAAATCACAAAAATACTGTCTCACCCCCCTGACTTCACAGCGAGCGGTCGTTGTACTTAAACACCTGACAGAA